ATTTACTTTTTACAAAAAAAAAAAAAAAAATCATTCACATTCTTCTTCTCTCATTTTCTGGAATTGTTTAGGCCGTGCTTGTTTATCAAAATTCTAAAAGAAAAAACTAGAAAAAAGTCAATCTCAATTCGAAATTTAACTCAACTCTACTATCCTCAATATTATCAATATAACTAAATAATATCAATCAATCATTTTTACACATTACATCAGCTTTAATTCACTATTCATCCACTCACATGATTTCAACTACCTATCATTTTCAATCATTTATCTCCTACTTTTACATCAAATCAATTTTAACCATTTTATTTTCAATATTATTTTAAGACATTCTTAAATTCCTACTAGCAACAAATTATACGAACTTTTTTCAAATAAACTCTAGTTACCACAAAAAAAAATACCAATTTTTTTCTAGTTTTTTATAAACAACCACAACCTTACTTGCCCTGACCAAATCCATAGCATTGACAATATCTTGATCATCCTTTATAATTCTAGTGATAACTCATTGTTACATCTAAAATTTGTCTCATTAGAAGAAGACAAAATATGAAATCAAATGATTGTATGTGCACAAGCAATAAATTACATTGTCCTCTTTGACCAGCAATAGCCACATCATTTCAATAAATTTAATTATAGAAGAGAACATAGAGATTATGTTCAACTTCGTTTTATATAGACTATCAGAAAAAACTTAAAAATGTTTTTATTATGTCTCGCAAGTGTTCCAACTTTTTTCTTTTCTTCCTAAATATTTATTTAGAAATTATAACTACATATGTTTAGCAGCAAAAATCCAGCCTGGGCGGTTGCCCAAGTTGGCCCAAGTGTCAATCTGCCTCTGACCGCATGCACCACCTCTTGGCAACTCCACGCGACGTCCGAAGAACCATGCCACGACAGCTGGCGGCAACCCAGTGACGTCGAGGACAACGACTCGATGAACGGAGGACGCGTGTATGAGGCAAACGAATAAAGGTTGAAGATCATCTCACAACTATTCATTTGGGCCTGTTGCTCATGTAAGTCTGTATAGAGTCGATTTTTGTGAAACCATAAGATCTTGATCCTAAACTTTAGTTTTCTACTATGCATATGATTAATTTGTTAAGTATTCCATTAGGATTTATTTATTTATTTAAAAATAAAAAAAAATTAAGTGGACAAAAACCAAAAAATTTAAAAACATGTGGACAAAAATCAAAATCACGTATTTTGAGAATACGTTTTTATTTAAAAAACGTATTTTCAAAATACGTTTTATAGTGTAAAACGTATTCCGATAATACGTTTTAGTGTAAAACGTATTCACATAATACGTTTTAAAAAAATTAATAAATAAAACGTATTTTGGTTATACGTTTTACAAATAGTTAAGAATTAAACAAATGATTAAAAACTAAAACGTATTATTCAAATACGTTTTATGTTTTAATTATTTATAAAACGTATTATCAAAATACGTTTTATAAATAATTATTTATAAAACGTATTTTGATAATACGTTTTATATTTCAAAATTAATGAATAAAAAAATTAATATATAGTATGTGTTTTGTGTTTTGGGCTCGTTTGGGCTCGTCTGAACTCGGAATTGAGTTCCGTTTTTCCTATACGTAGCTAACGAACCCCTCTATCCAATGATGCTTGCATGGACAAATTCTTGAAATCATATTCTATCAAAACTCTTGACCGATACATTAAACGTGTTTCGCGCGACTTTGCTTTTTGGGCCCGTTCAGACTCGTCCAAGCTCGAAATGTTGGTATATGTGTCCTAGAGACAATCTTTTTGAGGACATATATACAGGATCACAGTAATAATTATATTGGATTATAATTATGGTATTGCAATTAATTAAATAATTGTTTGATTGTTTGCAATTTATTAATTAATTGCTCCTTGAGTTGATACTGTCATTAACAGAGTGAGATGTTAATTGATAAAGTATAACTCTAAAATCGCCTAAATCGATGATCATTAAGAAAGGGATATTAATGATACGCGATAGATTGACATGTGGTATGCATCACATTCTTGGAGAATATAGTATGTCTCACTGCTATGAATAATTGTTATTTGTGATGGACACATGGATACTTTGGAGAGTATTGGCATACCCTACCGAGAAACCATTTGTTTATGTTATCGTTGTGTGGAATGGTGTAATAGTCCTTTGACTTGAGGTCAATACGCAATTCATGTATAGAGTGATTTACTTAGACCTAGTCCAAAGCTTACGCCCTTATGGGTAGATACGGGCTTATGTTGGGTAGATCATGATATACATGGAATTGGTAGTTGAGCCAAGATAGGATTCATTCCTCGAATATAGTTTCGAGAGAACACTCGTTTTTTTATATACTGGGTTGATAAAGTCATTGGCCAATGCACGTGATTATATTTGAAATGGTGTTCAAATATAATTGATAAAATCAACCAGTGATATGAGATAAAATGATTAAGCTGTTTGGATAGACACACGTTCAGATCCTAAGCTTAATCGAGTGGTTCGTGAATGAAGGGACCGTATCACTATTGAATTCTACACCAAAGGTTTGTTTGCTTTGTCTATGTAAACGTACTTCATATTTTGAGTTCGTCCTTCGACGCAGTCTAGGAGTTTCGTGAGGATCATAAATCGGATTTATGTCAATATATGAAGGCCTATAGGGTCACACAATATGCAATCCATTTTCCGTCTAAGAGTGAATCGAGAGTGTTAAATATTCAATTAGCTTGGAATATTTAATTTTAATAATTAGATTATTTTCTATTCGATAGAAAATATATAATTAAGTTTTAATTGGACTTAGACTTAATTATATTATTAATTGGATTAGGTCCAATTGCCTATTGGGCTATAGGTTATCCTAAAGCCCATATAATTAGGTTTAGCCTAATTATAAATAGGTCACTATCTCATGGGAGTCTTAGACGACACGATCATTAGATGAGATAATTGAGATACGCCGTAAAGACACAAAAACTCTCTTTGCTTTCTGACTGAGGATTCCTAGCGTCTTCACTGGAAAGGATTCACTGCGTTGGATCTGCATTGGGATCTGGATTGCGTGGATACCATAGTTGAAAGGATTCAATGTGTTGGATCTGCATTGGGATCTGGATTGCGTGGATACCATAGTTAAAGGCAAAGCTTAAACTGTAAGTTCTCGCAGATCTATGATCAAATCGAATAGCTATAGCCGGATCTTCATTGTTGGTAAGAAAATTTTAAAATTCCGCTGCGTGTGCGATTGATTCGCACGTCGAAAATCCAACACGAAATTCATTACCGCTTCTTCTTATATGTCGCCAACGAACCCATCTACACAACCATGATTATTCGGTCAATTTTTGGGCTAAATCTATTCCTCACGGGATAAATAATTAACAAATCACCCATTATATAAATAGATGGTCCACGGAGGATTTGGTAAAAGGTGATTTGTTAATTATTTAGCCCCGTGAGGAATAAATTTAACCCGAAAATTGACCGGGCATTCATGTTTGTGTAGATGGGTTCGTTGGCGACATATATGAAGAAGCAGAAATCAATTTCGAGCTTGGACGAGTCCGAACGGGCCCAAAAAGCAAAGTCGCGCGAAACACGTTTAATGTGTAGGTCAAGAGCTTTGGCAGAATATGATTTCAAGAATAATTTGGTCATGCATGCATCATTGAATAGAGAGGTTCGTTAGCTACGTATAGGAAAAAACATAACTCAATTTCGAACGGGCGTTGTTGTCGTTCGTGGTCACGACGTCTTCTACCTCCACCAATGTTGGCAGGGGGTTGATGTCTCGCCCTCTGTGACTGTGTTTTCTGGGATGAGACATAGTCCTCCTTGGATAGAACTTGACTGAACGACGCTCCTAGTGTAACCTCTTGGCCTCCAACAGTCAGAAAACTATAGGCAATTTTCGGGTTCAATCTATTCCTCATGGGTTAAATAATTAACAAATCACTCATTAT